CTTCTGTAGTTGCCCCAACAACAGTCGTACTTCCTGAAGCTGAGGTTGTTAAGCCCGAAATGGTAGTTTTTTTGGGTGTGTGTGTAGTAACCCCTCCAAAGGTTGTACTTGTTGGAGCTGAAGTTGTTAGGCCTGCAGCGGTAGTTACTCCGGCAGCTTGTGTTGTTGTCCCTACAACGGGTGTACTTGCGGGACCTGATGGTTTTAAACCTTCAGCGGTAGTTATTGCAGGAGCTCCTGTAGTTGCCCCAACAACAGTCGTACTTCCTGGAGCTGATGTTGTTAAGCCCGGAATGGTAGTTTTTTCGGCAGCGTGTGTAGTTATCCCTCCAACGGTCGTACTTGCTGGAGCTGAAGTTGTTAGACCTGCAGCGGTAGTTACTCCGGAAGCTTGTGTTGTTGTCCCTACAACGGGTGTACTTGCGGGACCTGATGGTTTTAAACCTTCAGCGGTAGTTATTACAGGAGCTTCTGTAGTAGCCCCAACAACAGTCTTACTTCCTGAAGCTGATGTTGTTAAACCTGCAGCGGTAGTTATTGCAGGAGCTTTTGTAGTTGCCCCAACAACGGTTGTACTTGCGGGACCTGATGGTTTTAAACCTTCAGCGGTAGTTATTGCAGGAGCTTCTGTAGTTGCCCCAACAACAGTTCTAGATGTGTATAAGAGACAGGAGCTGATGTTGTTAGGATTGAGGCAGCATGTGTGGTTGAACCTACAACAGTCGTACTTCCTGGAGCTGACGTTAAGCCTGGAACGGTAGTTTTTTTGGCAGCATGTGTAGTTACCCCTCCAACAGTCGTACTTGTAGGAGCTGATGTTCTGGAACCTTCAGTGGTAGTTATTGCAGCAGCTCCTGTAGTTGCCCTAACAACAGTCGTACTTCCTGGAGCTGATGTTGCTAAGCTTGCAGCGGTAGTTATTGAGGCAGCTTGTGTCGTTGCACCTACAACAGTCGTACTTCCTGAAGCTGATGTTGTTAAGCCTGCAGCGGTAGTTATTGCAGGAGCTTTTGTAGTTGCCCCAACAACGGTTGTACTTGCGGGACCTGATGGTTTTAAACCTTCAGCAGTAGTTATTGCAGGAGCTTCTGTAGTTGCCCCAACAACAGTCGTACTTCCTGAAGCTGATGTTGTTAAGCCCGAAATGGTAGTTTTTTTGGGTGTGTGTGTAGTAACCCCTCCAAAGGTTGTACTTGTTGGAGCTGAAGTTGTTAGGCCTGCAGCGGTAGTTACTCCGGCAGCTAGTGTTGTTGTCCCTACAACGGTTGTACTTGCGGGACCTGATGGTTTTAAACCTTCAGCGGTAGTTATTGCAGGAGCTTCTGTAGTTGCCCCAACAACAGTCGTACTTCCTGGAGCTGATGTTGTTAAGCCTGCAGTGGTAGTTATTGAGGCAGCTTGTGTGGTTGCACCTACAACAGTCGTACTTCCTGAAGCTGAGGTTGTTAAGCCCGAAATGGTAGTTTTTTCGGGAGCATGTGTAGTTACCCCTCCAATGGTCGTACTTTCTGGAGCTGATGTTGTTAAGCCTGCAACGGTAGTTATTGCAGGAGCTTGTGTAGTTGCCCCAACAACGGTTGTACTTGCGGCAGCTTGTGTGGTTGGCCCTACAACGGTCGTACTTGCTGAAGCTGATGTTGTTAAACCTGCAGCGGTAGTACTTGCGGCAGCTTGTGTGGTTGGCCCTACAACGGTCGTACCTCCTAAAGCTGATGTTGTTAAGCCTGGAACAGTCGTTTTTTCGACAGAGTGTGTAGTTACCCCTCCAACGGTCGTACTTGCTGGAGCTGAAGTTGTTAGGCCTGCAGCGGTAGTTATTCCGGCCGCTTGTGTGGTTGTCCCTTCAACAGTCGTACTTGCAAGACCTGATGGTGTTAAACCTTCAGCAGTAGTTATTGCAGTAGCTTCTGTAGTAGCCCCAACAACAGTCGTACTTCCTGAAGTTGATGTTGTTAAGCCTGCAGCGGTAGTTATTGCAGGAGCTTTTGTAGTTGCCCCAACAACGGTTGTACCTGCGGGACCTGATGGTTTTAAACCTTCAGCGGTAGTTATTGCAGGAGCTTCTGTAGTTGCCCCAACAACAGTCGTACTTCCTGGAGCTGAAGTTGTTAAGCCTGCAGCGGTAGTTATTGAGGCAGCTTGTGTGGTTGCACCTACAACAGTCGTACTTCCTGAAGCTGATGTTGTTAAGCCCAAAATGGTAGTTTTTTTGGGTGTGTGTGTAGTAACCCCTCCAAAGGTTGTACTTGTTGGAGCTGAAGTTGTTAGGCCTGCAGCGGTGGTTACTCCGGCAGCTAGTGTTGTTGTCCCTACAACGGTTGTACTTGCGGGACCTGATGGTTTTAAACCTTCAGCGGTAGTTATTGCAGGAGCTTCTGTAGTTGCCCCAACAACAGTCGTACTTCCTGGAGCTGACGTTGTTAACCCCGCAACAGTAGTTTTTTCGGCAGCGTGTGTAGTTATGCCTCCAATGGTCGTACTTGAAGGAACTGAGGTTGTTAGGCCTGCAGCAGTAGTTAATACGGCAGCATGCGTGGTTGCCCCTACAATGGTCGAACTTGCAGGACCTGATGGTGTTAAACCTTCAGTGGTAGTTACTGCAGGAGCTTCTGTAGTTGCCCCAACAAAGGTTGTACTTCCTAGAGCTGACGTTAACCCCGCAACGGTAGTTTTTTCGGCAGCGTGTGTAGTTACCTCTCCAACGGTCGTACTTCCTGGAGCTGATGTTGTTAAGCCTGAAATGGTAGTTTTTTCGGGAGAGGGTGTAGTAACCCCTCCAAAGGTTGTACTTGCTGGAGCTGAAGTTGTTAGGCCTGCAGGGGTAGTTATTCCGGCAGCTTGTGTGGTTGTCCCTACAACGGTCGTACTTGTACGAGCTGATGTTGTTGAACCTTCAGTGGTAGTTCTTGCAGGAGCTCCTGTAGTTGCCTCAACAACAGTCGTACTTCCTGGAGCTGATGTTGTTAAGCCTGCAGCGGTAGTTATTGAGGCAGCTTGTGTAGTTTCCCCAACAACGGTCGTACTTCCAGGAGCTGACGTTAACACCTCAACAGTAGTTTTTTCAGCAGCGTTTGTAGTTACCCCTCCAATGGTCGTACTTGAAGGAACTGAGGTTGTCAGGCCTGCAGCGGTAGTTATTATGGCAGCTTGTGTGGTTGCCTCTACAACTGTGGTACTTGCAGGACCTGATGGTGTTAAACCTTCAGCGGTAGTTATTGCAGGAGCTTCTGTAGTTCCCCCAACAACGGTCGTACTTCCCGGAGCTGATGTTAAGCCTGAAATGGTAGTTTTTTCGGGAGCGTGAGTAGTTACCTCTCCAACGGTCGTACTTGTTGGAGGTGCTGTTGTCAAACCTGCAGCCGTAGTTGTTGTTGGAGCTTGCTTGGTTGTCCCTACAACGGTTGTACTTGCTATAGCTGATGTTGTTATACCTGCAGTGGTCGTTATAAATGGAGCTTGTGTAGTTGTCCCTGCAGTGGTCGTTATAGCTGGAGCTTGTGTAGTTGCCCCTGCAATGGTCGTACTTGCTGGAGCTAACGTTGTTAAGGCTGCAGTGGTAGTTGTAACACAATCCGGTTTTTCAGTACATCTCCCAGTTTCTGGATCAATATCATCTATACTGCAACATCCCTCAACGCAAGTAACATCATAGCACAGCTCAATACAAGGGCTATAATGTTCACATGCTTCATCACATTGCATAGCTGTGTAGAAATAAGAATCATAATCATGATGCATTATGGAGCCTCTCTATGTTCCCTATAACGTACGTTAGTAATTAATTTGAACTATTATTCAAACATATATTGTCGCTTTTATACTACATTAATATAAATCATCAAAGGTACATATACAGTGTTTAATAAGGACATGATGGAACATCGTAGGCTACCAAGTAGCTTTTCAACGAATAAAGTCCTATGAAAAATCATTGTGTAATAAAATGCCTCCGACGGGATTCGAACCTGCGACCTCTCGCTGACAAGGCGAGCGTCATAACCACTAGACCACGAAGGCTTCATGGTTGAACAGGACCAAATACCCGTCGGGAACATTGTATTACACAATGCTATGCCTCAAGTGGCTGTTCA